TTGCTATGGATCCTCTCTGCCATAATATCATTAGACTTGTTCACTGCTGAGCTTGGCCACCTTTATGATTATGTCAGAAGTTGCAGCAGTCTAAATGCTGCCAGTCTTATATTAACATGTATGGAATGATGCATGTTACCAGTACATGATCTACCAGGAAAAGCCGGTCTACTAGTTGTTTACATACTGCTACTCCAGTTTCTATGAAGCGTGCTCTTGTTGAGTGCCTCTTTACTGTCAATTCCTATCTAGACAGACTTCACTTACATATATAAATAGAGCAGACTGTAGTGTGTTTAAGAGCGCTACTCCTGTATAAGTTCAATTAGACAGTCATGAAATGTAACAATGTTGTATCACACTGGGGATTAACAAAATACAAAGTGACTCACTTTTAGATGTCCTAGGGAGCTTTGAGAATGGTCCGGTGGAGACACTAAGACAAATCTGGACAAGTGAAGCCCAGTAGTGTGGTCGGCAGAGGACATAGGTGCAGATGTCTGTCGCAAAGAAACTCAGCTGGCCAGGCTGAGCCGTTGCGGCCGCAGACACTGTGAAGTCAGTGCTGTGTGATAGTACTAATCTGGTACCGTCTGTCTATCAGAGGTCTCAGGGGATGGAACGACAAAGACGTGGGGAACAGGCTTCGGCTGAGACAATGATCGGGGTGTAATGTAGTGGTAGAGGGTGTCAGAGGGGAGGACAGAAGCGCTACGCGTTTCGAGGCTATGCCTCTTTGTCAAGCTCTAGTGAAAAGTGGACGGAACAGATTAGCAGGAAAGCCGCGATTTATAAAACTGACAGCTGGGCGGGGCTAGCACTCGTGGCCTTATGCTGATAGGAGTATGAGAGTAGAGGGGCGGAGTGGGCATAGCGGACCGCCCATATTAGTCTCGAGTGGCATCTTGTTTTGAGCCAGCGGGTCATATCTTGCAATAACCGAAGAGTAAAAATTTACGAATTTAAAACGGATTTAAAAATTAAGCATGCCCAGCAAATTTTATTCAAGCTTACTTCGTTCATATATGAAAAATGACACTAATATCAGCCTTTTTTTACTCTTTTTCACCTAAGTTCTATTTATTCTTTTTGCTTGTTTTTTATACACAGTCTACTGATAGAATTGACATTAATATTACGGGTCCCACTTGTTTTTAATCTATTGAATAAAATTAGATCTTAATCTTTTTAATCTCTTGAATAAAATTTGCTGGGCATGCTTAATTTTTAAATCTGTTTAAATTCGTTCATTTTTACTCTTCGGTTATTGCAAGATATGACCTGCTGGCTCAAAACAAGATGCCACTCGAGACTAATATGGGCGGTCCGCTATGCCCACTCCGCCCCTCCACTCTCATACTCCTATCAGCATAAGGCCACGAGTGCTAGCCCCGCCCAGCTGTCAGTTTTATAAATCGCGGCTTTCCCGCTAATCTGTTCCGTCCACTTTTCACTAGAGCTTGACAAAGAGGCATAGCCTCGAAACGCGTAGCGCTTCTGTCCTCCCTTCTGACACCCTCTACCACTACATTACACCCCGATCATTGTCTCAGCCGAAGCCTGTTCCCCACGACTTTGTCGTTCCATCCCCTGAGACCTCTGATAGACAGACGGTACCAGATTAGTACTATCACACAGCACTGACTTCACAGTGTCTGCGGCCGCAACGGCTCAGCCTGGCCAGCTGAGTTTCTTTGCGACAGACATCTGCACCTATGTCCTCTGCCGACCACACTACTGGGCTTCACTTGTCCAGATTTGTCTTAGTGTCTCCACCGGACCATTCTCAAAGCTCCCTAGGACATCTAAAAGTGAGTCACTTTGTATTTTGTTAATCCCCAGTGTGATACAACATTGTTACATTTCATGACTGTCTAATTGAACTTATACAGGAGTAGCGCTCTTAAACACACTACAGTCTGCTATTGCCAACACAGAGCTCCTCTCCCTGCCTCTAAGAGCTGCACACTGTTTTCTATAGCCCTGTTGGAAGCCCAATTTGTACCTTTGGTAGTGCGCTTGTTCCTTTTTTGTCTGTGCTTTTTGATATATAAATAGAGAATGATTAAGTAAAGTCTAATTTTTTACTGAATATTTATTGTTTTTAATTTGTTCCCTAGGAGGTTTCAAAATAATAAAACAGGTCTCAGTGCTACAGGACTGGCCTCCACAGTAATCCCTTTCTCCCACTAGATGTCCCCAGTCTTTAAAACTGAATGATGCCCAATGTAATTCTACCATGAAGACATCCTGTGAGTGCAGCGATTAATGGACCTGCACCCTAAGGAGTGTCACCATAGCTCTCTTGTACTCCCAGTGAAATGATGCAGAGAGCGGATCTGTTATTATTACATCATTACTGCTCTCTGCATCATTTAGGACTGCCCATCATTGGGAGAAGACCTGAGAAGTGGAGTCTGCTCATTAGGTGTCCAGCCTGGAGACATCTGGAAAAGGTGAGTATAAAAAATATAAGCACAAAATGCTTCCATGGAGGGAAGAGTAATTGGCATGTGGGGCCTTAGAGTTGGGCTTCAACACAGCTTTAACAGGTGCAGCTGCAGGAGGACCGGACCTGCTAGACTTCAGCACCCAAGGAAGTGTAGGGTTCCTTTTCAATCTGTTGAATAAGCAGAGCCAATGGCTTTGTGTGCACAGATTTCTGCAGCTATTTGAGCCAGTATAGGTGGCCACTGTAGATAATAAGGAAATTAACTCAGTGGACATTGTAAGCTGTGTGGCAATGTTGCTCTAAGGTCTCCTTTCTCACACTGATTAACTGATAGACAACACTTGAAAACAGTTCAGAGTTCTTGCCATGTTGGATACTCACCATATACCGTAATAAAAACGCAATAATTGAGGCCAAACTTCAGCAATTCTTTTTTATACAGTTGAATTGGTTAAAACCTGTGTCATGTTTTTCTTGTTTCTGTCCATATTGTGGAGACAGGATTCTGGACAGGCCGTGATGGGAAATCTCTCCAACAGGTACACAAAGAAAAACCCATTATTAACTGAGTGGGGGGTGGGTTAGAACTTCTGACAATGTTTTTATTGATGCCTGTACATTCCTGTCCTGATGATGACTACTTCCCCCATATTTCACACAAGAGTCACAAGGCAAGGAAGTGAGGAAAAATCTTCCTAATAGAGTCACAGACAGAAGTAAACAATTGTTATTTTTCCCACTTGATCCAAATGTACAAAATAATTCTATAGACCGAGCACTGTCTCTCTGCTCTTCCTGGTGAGACAGACTGAATATACTGGATCTGATAAATATACTCTAAGAAGTTGGTAGGCATCTATGACAGGGCTTCCACTAAAAGTAATTACTTTAGTGCTATAAATGACTAAACAGCCATCCACTGGGCATAAACAGTCACCATGTAACTTATTTAACATTAGGAACAATTGACATTCATCCAGTTTTACAGCTGACTTACAATCAAGACAGTGAGATGATGTTCTAGGCTACTTGCAAATACAATATACAAATACAATATCCTTTCAAGAGAAAAAAGAATCACAGTTAACTGTCCTGCTAGACTTGATACGCTTGAATGCTCAGATCTACTTTTCTTTGTTTTCACTACAGCCATGGTCAGAGTAGCTTAACTTTTCAGATGTCTCTGTATTTCACAATAGAGTGACACCCATTAAATGAAAAAATACAGATTAATGACCAAGGAAACATGTGGGTCCCGAGGTTACACAGGTTGAGAACCACTGGTTTAAAGTCATAAGTCATAAAATGTTTCCTACTTTTGCATAGAGTGTAAAAGGTTTAGTCCCCTGCTGATTTTTATTGCTCTCTGTGTCTCCGCTGGGTAGATTGCCCTTTCTATTTGTCCTGATGACCATTGCCATGAAAACTGAAAGTGAGGGAAATTCAAACTTTTTGAGTTATCACCAGGGTAGTAAGGGAGGAAAATTGTTTCCCCCTGGGATACAGCATTACATTCTTTTAATGTTAGTTAGTAATATAGCAACTATAACAAAGCTGTTTTGTAGGTTAAAAGGCCTTTATGTACCCATCCATCCATATTAATTAATTAATAATACCTGCCTATAAACATTCCATTTGTGACAACTGTTCTGCCCGACAGCTATGTAAGAGGAATTCCCTCACCGTGGAGAGTTTTTCTCTCATTTCTGGTCAATCTACAGGGCAGAAAGTGAAGGAGACTCTTTTGAGTTGGACACAGATGGAATTAAAAACATGACAGTGATATACAGTACATATATTATATATTCATTTTTATTTTTTTCAATTAATTTATTGATTATTTTTAATGTATCAAAGTTATTTAGTTTAAGCCTTATAATAGTATTCTAATATTCTAGCTGCAGTGTCAGGAGGCCTTTTTACTGCTCAAAACTTTAACAGTATAGGGTGCTCACTATGCTATAATTTCCTTCTGTCTAAATAGTAACACATTTATCAAATTCCATTTAGGCTTTTACATTTCTACTTAAAACTCTAAGTAGACTGTGATAAATAATCAGTGCTGTGTCTGCTTATATACATTTGCTGACAGCCATTTGTCTGTACATATCCCTTGCTGAGGAACAACAGGTCTGCAAGATGTGCCTACTGAGCAAACCTTGTTTGACAGATTTAGTCCAGAAACAGGTCATTTATCATCAAAGAAACCAACAAACTGCAAGCGCTTCCTTGCAGTTTTGCTCTTGTTAAACTGAACACGCTCTGCAGCACTTATTAATGGCTCAGGATATTGGCAGGCAGAAAAATATTGAATCTAGCTTTACCAGGACACAGATTGTAAACAGTACACTTGACATTAGTACAGGTAAGCCTTACTCTCACCTTGAATAGTATGGAACATTGGCAGTATGAAACCTTTAGCTGGCAAGGCATAACAAGGTTTTGCTAACCTAATACTGTTGTCTACTAACTGCAAATGGATAAGCTGGCATGTATTTTCCTATGGGGAGTAATAAGGAACTTATCCAACATGCAATGAATAGTTCACGTGATCTCTCAAGAGTCTCCTCATTTGGAAGCAATCAGATCAGGTTGTGTATGGCCAGTCTAAAACACATGCAGTTTTTTCAACTTAATATAAGTACCGAGCAACAGGATACATGGTTTATCTGCTTGCATGGAAAGCTAAATTATGCAAAATACAATATATTCTATACTGAGAACAATGTTTTCTATTGCCATGGGAATGCTTTTTAGGACAGGTAGCTAACTGAACACACAGACCAAGCCTGGACATCACTGAACATGTTCTGCTATTATTCTGTTTGTTCCATACTTCAATATTGATTTAAAATGCATGATTAATATAAAGGTAATAGAAAGAGAATAAAAGAAATGTGTACCCTGTAGTATAATTAAACAATATCAAGGCACCTTTATATTTTATGTTTTAAAAATGCAATACTTATTTGGTACTCATAAAATGTAGATTTTTAAACTGATCAGAAATGAATCCCAGGGATGGAAATGAAAGAAAGATAATCTTAATAAATGTATAAGAACCTATAGTACAGAAAAGTAAAAAAATATTTAAAAGATCTTGTACAGAACATAAAATTAGAGATACTGGGGTTGACTTACTAAAGGCAAATATGCTGTTCATTTTGCAAAGTAAATTTCACTGTGCAATGGAATTTCCCATCATCTAATCACTTGCAAGCAAAAATACAGTTTTATATATTTTTTTGCATGTGATTGATTATTCTTTGCCCAGTGAATTTTTACCATATCTACCACCAAGCAAAAGGAAAATTCCCTTGCAAAGTGAGCAGCCTATTTGTCTGTAGTAAATCAATGCCCCAAAGGTATACCTAGTTGAAAGAGAAATTAGAAGATGTTTAAGTTCATTTTTATTTTTTTTTGTTTTCACAAGCTCATAAACTTGTAATTTATGTATTTTAACACTAAGCATTTAATATAGGGTTCTTCCATCATGTGGTACTTGCATACTGGACTATTTAATAAGAAAGCCTAGCAGTTTTGGCTCACTTTCTAACTGTCTCTGTCTAACTGAAACATTAAACTGATCCATCGGTTTCACTGGTCATACAACCAGCTTTCTCAGTTCAGAATTGAGAAAGCTGGCTGGATGACCAGTGAAACGTCTTCAAGAAAAATACAGCAAGTCCAGATGCCTTGACTTATTTTTTACAGATATACCATGACCTGGATGAATGAGAACCTTCACAGACATATTAAACTGATCCGTTTCACCAGAGAGTAGGAGGGAGTGTGTCTCTTCTCTGATTCGCTGTGTGAATATATGGAATAGAATATACAATTATAGCTTATTTACATCAAAGTGGCAAATGGACTCACATAAAGTGGTGGAGATCTCACTCGACTGTACCACATCCTGGCTTCAGATGGGAAATTGGAAATATTAACAAGAAATATTCACAAAAAAATTATTTTTAAAAGGTTTAATTTTTTTCCTAAACATAAAACCTAAATATATTCAAATAGACTATCCATTCCCTGGGAGCCTAAAATCATTAGTACAACCATAATTAGTATGCTGCAGACAATATGCAACTTTTTAATAATCACTCCATTTCATTTGTTTTTGGCCTTAGAATGGGAAAATGTCAACTTTTTCAGAGGGCCAGTGTAAATGCACCCTGCATGGTTGAAATGTTAGAATATCAAAGAAATACCATTTCCCCTGATATGAATTATATGGATACCATGTCAAAGAGCCACATGCCTAGGGTCAATCTTTTCACTTGAATACTGGAGGGGACAAAGTACTGCTGGCCAATCGGACCACAAAAGGTCTGAAGTACTATTAAAGTCCACTTTCTTTAATTGGTCATATTATACACATTAATTAGGTTATATTATTGAACAGACTGTTCTCTGAATAACACTCATAAACAAACAGTTTAGCAATCTATTAGAATTAACATTTTCAGGCCAGTCAAAAATGATATTGTAGTTCCTAGCTTGAACATGTTAGACTGTGTAGGTCCAAGCATTCTATATGTCTTAGACACTCCTTCAGTGCGATCTTTCAGCTATGATTTGTATCTCTGTTCCTCTCCTGCTGGAATATATCAGGTGCTGCCGCCAACCTTTGCATATTCCAGTATCTTTCTTTGCATTCTCCAAAATGTGAGCTCAAACACGCAGAGTGGGACTATATAACAATGGTCACAGCAGATATACACTCCAGAAAAGTAAAAGTATCCAAGAGAATCCCTGTGAGATATTAGAAACTGTCACATAGGTTTTCTTTTATGTCTTATTATTAGGATGAGATTCAGAAAAAAGAAAGCAACTAATACCAATGGAGGTTTACAGCTGGAACGTACATGACATAGTTGCTGCAAGGGTATATATACATATATACACATATATATATATGTATATATATATATATATATGTGTGTGTGTGTGTGTGTTTTGGATATAGATGCCAATACTTGCTCCATTGTGTGTATGTTGGGGTGGATGTGCTTGCCTAAGGTTGCTGCTAAGATAAGATGTTTACATAATTGCACTCAGTTTAAGCCTTGAAGGATATCATATGCAAGCAAAAATCATGTTTTTAATCATTTTTCATGCATATAACAGTATGACTGAAGTGAAATAATATTTACCTTATTTACTAAGATACGTAAACATTTACTTTGCAAAGTGATTATTCTCTACTATGTTTGTAGATAAACTCAATTCAGTCAGTTGGTATGGCTTCTTCCCTAATTACCCTCTTATACATTTTTTTAATTGTGTGTGTCCCTTTAACATGTAACAGAGCAAAGCTTAGTGTGTGTATACATGCAGCTAATACACTTCTTCAATATGGGATCTGGAAGCACTTACTACACAACTGGAGTGCGGATGCACCCATTGCACTGTCACTTTTACCTCCTCAGTCGTCTCTTTTTTTGGTCTGACATACAGACCTCTATTAAAGAATATTATATTGTAATATTATACTACACTTAACCTTTATCCAACCTCAAAATTAACACATGTTATTTTGAACAAAGAGTATGAAGGAAAAGTAGTGGTAAAATTGTGTCCAAATAACTGGGGTGTGGCAGGGGTTCCGGGCAGCGATAACACTGGGCACATGATAATCTACAGGCAAATAATCACGAGGACCCAGCAGCAGCATTCTGATAATACAGAGAGACTCGCCTGGATGTTCCTGCCTGCTGTCCCCCACGCTAGTGTCGTTTTTGCTGGTGTTGTTTTTGCTGCCTGCTCGAGCTTCCTTCAGCGTGGAGAACAAGCCAAGAGGAGTGTGACCGCTGAGGTAACTACTTGCCACTATAGAATATTGAATAAAACATGGCTGAATTTGAAAGTTTCAAGTTCAACTATATTCTATTCCATGTTCTATAATGGCATTGTATTACTAGAAAACTCAAAGTCGGCAGTTCCGCTGGGACTTGTAGTTCCCTGTATGATAGAAGGCTGTTTTAATAACTGTCCTCAGGAAAGTACTAGTAATACAATGCCATTATAGAAACATAAGATAGAATTTAGTTGAACCTGAAAGTTACTGTTCTATAATGGCATTGTATTACTAGTACTTTCATGAGGATAATTATTAAAACAGCCTTCTATCATACAGGGAACTACAAGTCCCAGCATGCACTCACGGTCCCTGCACACCTCTCACACATTACCCAGGGAACTAGTGCAGGGGGCTTGCATCCTGGAACTTGTAGTTCCGTGGGTGATTTATGTGTGTGTGGGGTTGTACAAGGACAATGAGGGCATGCTGGGACTTGTAGTTCCCTGGGTGATGTGGAGCGGTGTACAGGGACAATGAAGGCATGCTGATTGTAGTTGAACTAAAGGTCCCAGCATCCCTTCATTGTTATACCCCAGGGTTGCAGTGGTCGCATGTGCAACCAGGCACTGGCATTCTGAAACTTGGGGGGCCTGGAAAGGAAGTAACCGCCGGGGCACTGACATTGCCTCCTGGGACTACACCTCCCAGCAGGCCAATGCTCAGCAGCAGGGGAGGCACTTCATGGTTTTTTGCACCGGGGGCCCTGAGGTTTCTAATTACGCCTCTGCCTGTATACATTGTACTAAAAGGTGTACCACCTCGCCATTTCCGAATATTGGGAAGTATGGTGTGCTTAGTAAATGTTTTTTGAACTAAATCTTAAAATAAAACAGCAGCAAACAAAGAACAGGCTTGCAACTAATTGGAATGGGTGATGCGTTTTCTAAGCTTTTTGCTTATAGTGTAGCTCCTAATTGCACATAATATAATTTGTAAAAAGTTTTCTGTTGAGAAAGTACTGTACATCTAATTATGTTATAAATCTCAATATATTACATGCAAAAACGTCTCCCCATACTCCCATAATGACGTCTTTACTGATCTAAATGATGAATGATTAAATTTTTGCATTTGAAATGTCTCTCTTTAATAACTATTATGGGATAACACTTACATAATATAATAAGTCACAATAACATCCAATTACAGTATATCATCATTTGGACCTATCTTTGTAATTAAGCTTATGTCCCTGGATATTAAGGCCATTTGATAACTGCAATTAATATTTGCAGATGTACCCTAAATTCTTAGAACTGATCCTGCAAATAAATTACAAGGAGCCATCAGCATTAACAACTTATCCCTGTTTACATAATTTATGCTAAGCCATTTCCTGGACAGTGTGCGGCTTCAGCTAGTGGCTTAATGCACGCTCAGGGTGTGCACAGTCTCATCTAACTAATCCTCCAGGAAGAATCCATTACTTTGACAGCTTCATCTCCGGGCACCAGTAATAAAGTCAAAGTATTCCAAGAGTGATACTGGAAAACTCCCATAGCACTTCAGCTCTTCATTTTATCATCTAGAGAAAGACTGGTTTTTAAGATTTCAGAGAAGGAAATCAGAACTCATCTCCCTTCTGCATTGCCTCCCTTTATAGCTGTAATAAAATGTATTTGAGTTTTGGCACTGAAAGAGTTACATCAATTAGAATAATCTAGTAATATCTACATCTGACTTAAGCGATTTCCA